ATTACAAAAAGTTGTATCGATAAAGAATAAACTGGATTAATCAAGAGAGGACTTGTATCACTGATATTCCTCGGAAAGCGTTTCTACCGGAAATTATCAAGCAAGCAGATACGCAACAATATATAAATATATATATTTTTTTATTTTTTTTTTCGAGTATGTGTGTGAAATCACATGTAATCTGACATATAGCTCTTTGTATGTGATGTAACTAAGACAGAGCCAAACATTTTGATTGGAACTTTTAGTTAGACGAATTTTTTGTTACAGTAATTTTATTTATGCATATATTTCCTTGGAATTGGATAGAAGACATAGTGTTTGTAATGATTCTTTTAATGTATGACCTTTAAATGTGAAAAACACTAAAACAACATTTTTAATAACTACCCCTTTTAAGTTAAACCTTACACTTCTCTTGATACCTAGTTTTTCGTTTATTTATTGAATTATGTTCCAGTTTCCTTTATATGCAATTTTATTTTTAGGCAATGAATGATATCCCATAATTATGTTATATGTCTTATATTAACTTTTATTCAAAGAATATTATCCCATGATTATATCATATATCTAATATTAACATTTGTTAACTGAATAATGTCCAATAATTATTTCATGTCTCTTACTATTTATTATTCAGTGAATGATATCCCATAATGATTCCATATATTCAATTTTAGCTTTTATTCACTTAATGATATCCTTGAGTTATCTATTTTTAATTATTATTGATGGAGTGATATCCCATAACCAGAGGCATTGCTAGGTGCTTAAAATATTCAAGGCTCATAAGCATGGGAATTTTTGGCATTTCAGTGCGATATTGAATACGGGTTTTCTATTCTGATTTTTCAAGACACCAACTGAGGATTTGGAGTATGGGCCCAATGTGCCAATGACTAGCAATACCTCTGCCCATAATAGATTTCATATAAGTTTAACTTTTATTCATTGAATATCCATAATTTTCATTTTTCTAATTTTAGTTTTTTGTTTAATATCTTACATTTTTTGCTATATATACACTTTGTTTTACTCATTGAATAATATCCTATGATTATATTAACCCATATATTTAGTTTTACCTTTTATTCAATGAATAGTGTCCAGTATTTACTTTGTGCACTGCATTTCAACCTTTGCTGATTGACTGATATTCCATGCTATCTAGTTTTAATTTTTATTCACTGAAAAATAACCCACAACTATCTCATATAGCTAATATTTGTGACAAAAAAATCACTGACACTACAGATGTTGTATTTTCAACATTCTCCATTATGTATCCATGTTGTATTGAAACCAGGTTCCAGTTTTCTGAGTTTAAACCACAAACTCGAAATTCTTTTACTGCACATATACATAGTATTTCAGGCATACTTCTGTTTTCATGATCCAGTTCAACTGATTAGTCCTGATACTGAATGAAATGCTTTTTCAGCAGTAACTTGTAGCAAACTAAAGGTACTTCAAGTTGAAATGCAATTTTCACATACTTGTGACTTCAAATCTGAAATGGGCATAGGAATAAAAATTGAAAAAACATATGCAGTGTTAATTGATTTTTATCATTATTATTATTAGATCCATTGTAACTTAATGGTTCACCAGCTTTTGTTATTTAAACTGTATCTTATGTAACTATTTTTAATTTTGTTACTAATTGCTATTCCCAATTTATCTTGTGTATCTAGTTTTAAAGTTTATTCCTTCAATAATAGCATAAAGTCTGAATATTTTCAAATACTGAATACAATTATTATTAGTTTATAGTTCTATCAACTGAATGGAAACTTAAAAACATCTTTTTAACAAGATATTTGTCTTTGATTTCTGAAATATACATGTTTTTTTTTAGGTTCTGGGATGCTGTGCAAGGTTTGAAACAAGTACATTCCAAAGATGTTCCTGTTAAAGTTCAGGAAATATGGAAGTAATTAGTAAATCATACTATTTTCTTAGTGCTATTGCATATTAATAAGCACATCCAAAACGTTTTATAATATATTAGTGTTTACATGGCTAATATTACATTAGAATATTCTTAAAAGCATTTCATTTCCAAAAACAAGTAATGACACTGCTTAAAACATTTGTTAAGTGTAAAACAATAACTAAAATTGCAGTAACTGTTCATTTAAAAAATAACAATAGATTATTAATAATGCATCAGATATGCAGTCATGAAATTTTGTCATAAAGAATACTTTTGGTATTATATATAAAATTTTACAATACAATATTATTTAGTATTGAAGATTGTAAGAAAAGTATGATATGTTCCTAAAAAAACTTTGATTTTTAACCTATTGACTGTTGATTTGCTGTATAGGATATTGTATTACTCACAAAAATTCTGTGCACATTTAAAGCAGTTCCAGTCAAACACATTGTTTCTTTAATTTTTTCAGTATTTTACAAACTTTTATTATGAAAGAAGTTAGTCAGTGCTTTTACACCAAAATTATAGCTCATATATATTTTACTGATTCAACAAAACTAATATAATAATAATAGTGTCTGTAATTATAATAAATAAGAAGAACAACATGATATTCAATTATACATTTATAAAATTAAAAATCATCTTATGATAATGAAAGCAATTTCACTTAAAGCTTAATAAAAAATATTGCTTACAACTGATAAATTTATTATTGAGATGATTTAAACTGAGGAGTACAACCACCTATGTTCATAAAAACACAAATACTATAGAATGTTTATTAGTAATTTAAGGTGTTTAAGAATTTTGGTATTCACACATTATTGGGTTTTATCATTGAAATT